AATGGAGCTTTTAATGTCTTGTATATCTCTTTGAATCTGCTTTATGCATTCTATCTCTTCTATATTGCTCATTCAATGTTTCCATCATTTTTATGTTCTCCTCTATGTTTTCTATCAGTGTCTTCTGTACAAATGCTTAGTAATTCTTTCATTATAGTTTTAATTTCTTTTATTACCTGTGATATCATTTTTTATCTGATTTCCTCTATACTCTTCTGCAGTTGTTTCTTTACTTCGGTTGCAATTATTTCAGAGATTTCAGGTGTGTGTCTTCTACTTTTTCCATGCTGCTGTGTCCTGGGTTTGTTCTGGGTGGGCTTGGGGCCTGAGAATGCATTTTGCTCCTTCTTTCTGTCATTTTCTATTTCAGAGAGAACTCTTTATTTTCATTTCTGTGATACCTTGCTTTGAGAGTTTGATAGCACATACCTGTATCGCTGAAGCCGGAGCTTCCATAGAAAGGTCTGTTTTAGGCATCTCTCCTGTGTCAGAGATCATTGTTGCATGTGTGTGCTGAGATTTGGTCTTTTCTATTCACTGGGAGCAAGACTTTGGCTTCCATTTGGAACTGTGCGCTGTCTTTCTGTGCAGGGCTTTGGTGAGGTTATTACCCAAGCTCCTCCGGTGGTGATACCCGAGGGAACACATGTACTTAAGGCAGCTACGTTTTCCTAGTTACAGTAGTGCAATTAGCAATACTAATAACAGCTAGTGAAACTTAGAAATTGACAAGCTTTTATAACTAATGGGTTTGTACTTTAGACCATAGAGCAACCATTATATCTATATGACAAAGCAGATATTAAATTGGGAATTTATATTTAAATTAGTCTCCCTGAGCTCTGTCTGGGCCCCTCCCCTTCACGCACTTGCATCTTCAGGCGGACTAGCTCATCCCAGCTCTCTGCCACCGTCTCTGTGCCGTGAGGGTGCTCCTGTAGGTCTGGGCCTCAGTCTGGGCTCAGCTGGGCCAGCAGTATGCCTCAGCTCACTGGGTCTAGATCTACTGAACTTGAGCTTCACTGTCAGGACCTGGCTTGGGTCTGGTTGCTGTTTGGCTCCTTCCAGCTGAGCCCAGTCCGAGTGGACTGTTACGCCCCTCTGGCTGCCAATCCCAGGGTTCTGTCCCAGTAGACCTGCCGAGCTGGAGTGGGCCTACTGTGTCGCACTCCTGTGGGTCCCGCGGCTCATTCCCAGTAGGCCTGCCAAGGTGAACTTACTCCTCGATTCACTGATTTTTTATTTTTTACTTTTAGTCTCCAATGTGTTAATTTCTGTTCATCTTCATAATTTTCTCCCTCACAGGAATTTTGGCTTAGCCTGCTCTTGTTTTTCTAGAAGTTTGGGGTTCACCATTAAATTGTTTATTTTGTGCTTGTGGAATTTTTAAAAAAACAGCAATTACTAACTTGTTCTGCATCTAAGAGTATCAGCGATGTCATCCACAATCATAGTGTTACTTAAGTGGGATTGGGCAGGAGATCATCTGCAAGCCTCGCCTTTGCCCTTAGCAGAGTAGGGAGTGTTACCTCAGTATGAACATTTGTGTATACATTTCAGTGTGAAACTAGATCTCCATGTCTCTGTGATAAATACCTAAGTGCAATCCTGGGTCATATAGTAAACCAATATTTTAGTTTAAAAGGGATTGTAGAACTATTTTGCAGTGTGGAAGTATTATTTATGTTTTTATTAGCAGTGTATGGAAGTTCCAGTTTTTCTACATTTCCCCAAACAAACATTTAGTGCTGCCATTACTTTTTATTTTAGTTTAGTTACTCTAAAGAGTGCGTGGCATTACCTGGCTGTCTGTGGATTGTATTCACATTGAACAGTGTTGACCACCTTTTGTGTGCTTCTTTGCTCTCTGTACAGCTCTTGTGAAGCATCTGTTCAGACCTCGTGCCCACTTTCAGTTAGGGTGAGGACATCAAGCCGTGGGTTTTGGTACACGCAGACATTCAGCTCGTACTATCAGCTTGCGTTTTATGGTAGAAGACTGGTCCCACTTGTGGCGACCGCAGAGCTGCAGGGTTAGTGGTACAAGCAGTACCAGTGACCACGAAGAGAAGAGAAGCTCCACCCAGTCTTCCTAAAGTTTACTCATTTTCTTGCAAAGTGAGAATCCAAGGAGAGAAAGAGAAGTGGAGTGAGCTCCAGGAAGTTTATGACAGTAATGACACTGATTATTTGTCCAAAGGTGCACATCGTTGGCATCATGAATGTCACCATGAAGTTACTAGCGGGCATGAACTGTGTGCTTCTTATCCTTGCCTTTCAGTGCCCTTCACTGGATCCTGCAGGTGGCACTGAGAGGACAGAGGATCTCAAATTCCAGATTAATCAGGATTGAGGCAAATGACTGGGTACCCCCCACCCCATCAGCTCCTCAAGAATGAAAGGAAAATATTGAAGCAGATGTGCTGAGGCTCTCCCAGTTCATCTTAGGTATTTCTGTAGCATCCTGGAAAGGCCAAGTATGTGTTCTCAGAACTTGTCACACTGGCAGCATCATGATGCTAACGAATAGGGGATTTCTTTTTAAAGACATTTGAAGAACACCAAAAGTGGGGAGTGGGTGTGTCTGGGGTGTGCTATGTGTGTGCTGAAGGGTGTGCGCGTTTGTGTCAGAGAGAGAGAGAGAGAGAGAGAGAGAGAGAGAGAGAGAGAGAGAAACAGAGAGAGACAGAGAGACAGAGAGACAGAGAGACAGAGATATGCTGTGAAAGAGGACTTGATAAGTGTTCAGCGTTATGGTTTTCGGGAAAGGCACTGTCACTGTGACGAGGAGGTACATGGTGGTGCTGCTTGGGAGACTGGGGCAGGAGGACTGGGCAAGCTCCCAAACTTGGGACCAGCTGCATCAGCGTAGCAAGACCTCGCCTCTAAAGAGGATGTGGGAGGCAGGCTGCTAGTCTTTCAGAAATACTTGTCAGTTTGGAAAAACATGGCTTGTTGAGAAAGCAAAGGTCATCAGACAAAGGTTACGTTGTGATATGAAAGATGGTTCCGAGAAAGAGAAACCATCTGGCTGTATGTGGGAGAATTGTGGGTAATGGAAACAAAGACTCAGGACTGGAAGACAAACCCCAAGTTGTGCTTGGCTTCTGAGACTGAGTCAGGCTCTGCTGCCTTCCTCCCATGCAGATGTTCAGCACGGTCGTCATGGTGAGTCTCAGTTGTTTACTGTAACCCAGCAGCCTACTGACACTTTCCTTTGTGACTTACTAAGTAATGAAACCAGCAGATGAACTGACGTGATATGGGGCTCAGAGAGCGCTTGCCCACAGCTGCTCTGGAGCGCCAGTTCCTCAGAGTTCTGCCCGGGCCAGGAAAGGGTCCAGAGAGGAGCTGCCCGGGCTGCCGAGTGGGTGCGGCCTAGCTGGCAGGGGCTGCAGTGGTCAGGCCTGCAGTGAGCTGAGGCCACGAATGCCCTGGGAGAGACCCCAGAAGACTGTTCTTCCTGGAGGAGACACGCGCCCTAACCAAAGGCAGGAGTAGGCCTCAGGAGCACGCCTTTCTTTATGGTGTCCCTGCAAGGCTGAGTGCCAAGAACGGCTTGTGGATTACTGTGTCTTGGCAAGGTTGTTATCCTTGTGTTATAATAAGAAAAAAATTAATGATTTGGGTACTAGATAATTCATGCTGTGACAGGACAGTCCTATGACAATTTTTTTCCTTGTCTCTTGTTTTCATTTATTACCTTTTCTGTTTTTCTTTTCTTTTTTTTTAAACAAACATTACTTGAGAGAGAGTATAGCAGTAATTGATATGCTGTTAGAAGCAGGACACTTTTAGAAGACCAGAATGTCAGGGATTCTAAGCATGACCCTGGTATTACACATTGCCATCTTCAGCGCAGTTGCTCAGTTCACAGGTAGCAACACGTATAGTCAGGGTGAGAATCCTACCAATTAACTGCTAGTTTCAGAAACCTGCTGAAGATTCTCAGGATCATTGCCTTAAGCTCCTTGTGCATATAAATGTATGGTTTTGCCCCTACCATGTTTTCTAGCTTTTCTCCTTTCCCTTTCTTTATTGTTTAATCCTTAAGTTCTTGCTTTCCATTTAGTTGTGTTATATCTTTCAATTTTTATTTCTTCTTTTGAGTTCTTCCACTAGGGAGATGAGGTATAAAAAGTAAAGTCATACTAATAGGCTGAGCAGTAAAATGCTCAAATCCACAACTTCTGACATTGCCAGTCATGTGGATAACCCACTACTATTGTAGACTACTGGACTATATTGGATTTCTTTGCTGAATTCATGCACCTACAATATATGAATGGCAATGGAACACACATCTCTGACAAAAGTAAACAAAAAAGGGGATATAAATGAAGGACCATTTTGTAGTGAAAAAAATCGTATCTATATACAAAATAGCATAGATATACAGCTACTTTCTCTTAGTTCAATGAGAAGATTTTGAACTAATAGTGTCTAGACAAGATACTATGTCTGCATCTTCTACTATGAATAACTACTATGAAGACAACAATGTGCAATGTATTAATTATTGTAACTGTCCTACTAACCTACTTTGAAACTATCTCATTGCTACTTTTTTCTCAATAAACTTATTTTTAAAAAAGATAGATCATGTTAATTTTATTTAAAAGATTTTCTTGATATTGTACCCTTCCTCCTTGGTTTTGAAGATACCTTTGTATTTATGGAATTATGAGGATTCCTTAGAAAATGATTATTGAGGTAGCCATTGCTCCTTGTTGCTGCTGCTGCTGCTGCTCGGCCACCGTGAAGTGCTGCTCTCTGCCCTGTGTCCCTCTGCCTTGGAGCCAGCCGAATATGAACTGAAGCGTCCAGTAACTGAGACACACAGAGAGAAGGAAAGACCAGACTGCTGCCGCACCGCCTGTTTGGACTACTCATCTTGAATCCTGATTTCTTAACTTTACCTCCACTTGTGACTAGGACATCTGGACTTTGAGGAACTTTGCTCCTAATTTCCACACTGATGAGTCAAGAGTGGAAAAATTTGAGGAGATGTAAGCAGAGAAAAGAAATTAAACCAGGCCTGAGAGCGATGCGACAGGCATGATGGAGGTCGAGTCCTCCTACTCGGACTTCATCTCCTGTGACCGAACAGGCCATCAGAACGTGGTCCCTGACATCCAGGGCAACTCGGAGGCCATGAGTGTGTGGAAGCTGGCTGGAGACATGGGCGAACTGGCCCTCGAGGGGGCAGGACAGGCAGGGGCAAGCACCATGAACAAGGAAGCCAGCAGCCAGCCTGGGAGCAACAGTGGGGCTGCCTCCTCTTGAGTCTGACTTTGTCCTGGAGGCCGGAAGAGAGACCTGCTGCCGCCTCCCAGAATGGGAACCTGGGCACAAGCCCAGCAGCCTCCTTTCTGAGCCCATGTCACGGGCCAGAGTGAGAGGCCTCTGTGGCCCCTAACCTGGGAAGCCCTCTGCCCACACCCACAGGCTCCACGTTCCCACTGCCTTCTGTCTGCGCCCAAGACACTGTAAGCATGGGATATTATTTATTCAGCTGACACAGGGCTTGGGCTAGGGCCTGCCTGCTGGGTGAGCAGCCCACAAGGTGACACCACTCTGCAGGCCACCGGCACAGGGACCATGTCCCAGCACTGACCCTCCTTTCCATCCCCAGCCTTTCAGGTCAAGACCTTATGACCCCTGTTTTTAAAAAACACTTTTAAACTTTTTAAAAACTTTAAACCTTTTTTTCAGCATAGAGGGTGGGAACTGATAATTCACTTTTGGGTTTTTTGTTTTGTTTTTTAGGAAAGCCATTTTAAGCTCAACTCTGACCATCTATGCAGCTCTGAGGTTCCCTCATGGAGCTTCGCAGACCCTTTTGTAGGGAAGGAATTTGGGCCCAAAACTAACAGAGTGATCCTTTGCCCTTTTTACCAAAATAAGTGACTTAGCCCCTAGGAAATAAATGCTGTGAAAAAAAAAAAAAGAAAAAAAAAAGAAAGTGATTATTGATCTGTGAGGTCGGAGGGCCATTCTTCCCACCATTTCCGTCTCTGCTTTCTGCTGGCCTCCAAAGGCCTGCTGAATTGCTTTCCTCCCTGCCGGCCTGTGACTTCTTTGCATGTGCTATAATCATTTTCTTTTTCTTCTTTTATTATCCTATTTTTCTATTCATCAGACAAATCCAATTTTGGTATATGCAAAAACTCAAATGATGTTTTTGTGTTTTTCATTGTCGTCAATGTGACCATTCATTTTTCACATAAGGAAATTAGGCTCAAACTGACAAAGATTTTTAATATGTCCGCACAAGAGACTGTATCTGTCATGTGTGTTAATTGAAGTAAGGTTTACTATTAGAAAGTATTTCTCTGACTGAAGTACAGTAAACATAAAAAGATCTATAAAACCAACTTAAATAATTTCTTTTTTAAAGAAATAATTTCTTAAGATCGACATCCTTTGCATCTTTGAACAGTGAAAGTTTCACTTATAAAAGTTATGAGCAAATATGTGCAAAATCATTGGAAATTTGTATTTCTAGTAATTTTATTTTTTAAAATTTATTTTATTTATTTTTCTAGTAATTTTAGATAGTAGCATTTAAAATGTTTTAGTTACTAAAGTTTGGTTTTTCAGTTTGGCTTCCTGGGTAATTTGTTAGAGAAAATGGAAACGGATGATGACATTTTACGAACTTTAAGCCCTTCTCTTCTGAGCCACGCTGGGAGCTGCCATTTAAACACAAATAAGCATCAGCACAATAACTCTAGAGGCCTAAACCCGCTGGATCTGGAAGCGTATGGGCG